AGTGATGAGTGTTGTAATAAAAGTACGCTGCATCGAAGAAAATAATTAGACGTTTAGGGTAGCCAGTAAAGAGCATAATATCTTCATTCCGCGACTATAATCCACGTCTCGCGAGTTTTATTATGGTGTCATTGGAATTGGAGATGTGAGCAACTGGTTCACGGTTTTATTCGGTGATCAGGTAGATCTGGAACAAATTCAAGTAGGAACTAGCCTACATTTGACGCAAATCTTGCAAAGTGCTGACGCAAAATGCTGCAAAAACAACTCCAACTGAGCCAAACGTCTTCAAACTTCATCTCAAACATAGCCCAACTTATTTTTACTTAATAATTAGGTAGATCTAAAAACTAACCCAGATTCGACAGAAATTTTACCCAAATTCAACAGAGACAACTTCAACTCAGCCAAAAACCTTCTCTAATCTTTATCTCAAACCAAAAGTCTACATCTACCAGAGGTCCCCACTAAAAACCATTCTAAGCAAAACCCATCGAGTGTTCACTTCACTCACCCATGCTTACAAACTAATACAATCTCTTAAAAGCTCTTTACGTCGAAAAACCGAATCCCAGTCCAAGATTAAGTTCCAGCCGAAAGAAGAAACTGCGAATCACTGGCACAACAGACGGCGCAGCAATGCTGGCGCCGCGGTTACACTCTCGCTTTCGAAATAATAATTATTTAATACCCGGAGCAACGGGTGAAATGCGAGCGGAGTGTGGGCACCCGGTTTTTCAGGCCCCTGGACCCATCCCGCGACCGCTTCCATCATCGCCGGGCCTCTCTCTCCTCCTCTCTTTCTCCTCTTACCTCGGAGGACACGCTTTCCAGCGGTAATGAAAGCATTTTCGAAAAAGCCGGTCCCAAGAGACGCCAGTCAACAACAGCCGGACCGGGTTTTTACGTAACGGGGTGCACGAGACTGGCAAACGCGCGCCGATGGGCGCGAGCTAGCGGGTTTTCTGCGCTTTTAGGTGACACCGATCTAGAATTACGCAATTCGACGTGGGCCCGGCTGTTGCGTGAGCCTGAGTGCGTGTGAAAATGGTCTGGGGAATTGAAATATTGCTGCTGAGGGACAATGATCGGTTGTTGATTGAGAATTGATGACGTTTGGTAAAGTTGAAAGATGGTTTTAGGACGTTTAATACAGTTGGAAGATGGCTTGGTGACACTCAGTGCAGTTGGGAGATGGTTTTAGGACGTTTAATACAGTTGGAAGATGGCTTGGTGACACTCAGTGCAGTTGGGAGATGGTTTTAGGAAGTTTAATACAGTTTGGAGATGGCTTGGTAAGGTTTAGTACGGTTGGGAGATGGTTTTATGACATTTAGTACAGTTGAGATATAATCTTAGGACGTTTAATACAGTTAGGAGATGGCTTGGGGACGTTTAGTGCAGTTGGGAGATGGTTTTAGGGCGTTTAATACAGATGGTAGTTGGTTTGTGGGCGTTTAGTGCAGTTGGGAGATGGTTTTATGACGTTTAATTAATTTGGGAGATGGTTTAATGACGTTCAATAAATTTGGGAGATGGTTTGAGGACGTTTAGTACAGTTGAGAGACGACTTGATAACATTTAGTGCAGTTATAGCTTGATAACTAGCGAAACCACATAGGGGCAACAGGTATTTTTCTAGTTCACAATTTTATATTTTTAATTAGCTATGTGTGACCATATTAATAAATAATAAGTTACTGATCGAAAGTATCAGAAAGTAGGGGTAATAAAATTAATAGAAAATTTAATAAGACAAAATGACAACTGACCATCCGCTGGATTTCTTAGCTTAGCCATCAAGTAATCTAGCAGTAATTAAGAGCAGTCGTAATTGGATCTGTTCTTAATAAAAATGTTTGATAGAGTTTGTATTCTTGGGAAATAATTTAAATTATTAATAACGAGTGTTTAATTAGATTCATGTTATGTTGAGTCGAGTTAAAGTTACGTTGGATGAAGTTTAAACAGTTCTATAACCTCTAACTATAATTTTTCGAAGAATGATTGGACTCGCTAACGATTGCATTGATTTAATTAGAGTTAAAAATTGATCTTGCTTTTCTTACGTCACCTTTCAAACAACTAACTTACTACATCCAAATTAAATTAACGGTTTATCCTTCAACGCAGTTAAATCAAGGAAGTTAAACGTAACAGATAACATCTCAAAAATTTATTCATTGGACATTCCATTCAAGGATTACAGGCAAGTCAAGGATCTTAATCCCCGAATAAAATTACGATAGCAATCGACGCGGTTCCGAACTGTTGAAATCGAAACATGCGGTGCGTTTGAATATGCAAATGGCAGCGACGATAAAGTCCAAAACAAGAAACGAAATTACATTATGCTGTGATAGGGTTTTATTTATAGGACGTTCCGTCGAAAAAAAACACGTGAAATATCCAAAAGTTAGGGCTTTTTATAATATCTGCCTAATTGCTTCTTATCTTAACACTAAAGCTACCGTGCCAATCAAAATGACTGTTTCGCAATTATTGGTACCTTAACACGTTCACTGGCAATCTTGGGCCAACGCGTGATGTGGTATCAACGCTAAAAAACCAATCACTCGCCAACGTGTAGTATGGAGTGATATTTTAGTAGTCAGTCACACATTCGCGTGGAAAGAACTGCGTAGTCGATATATTAACCCTTTGCACTCGAAAGTTTTTCACTAGAAATATTCAATATTCTCCGATGAGATACAGACGATGTTCTTTAAAACTAATTAATGAGAAAACGTATAAATTAAGAAAGAAAGTTATTTTATTTCAATATTCCATATATTGATGCATTATACGAAGTTCAATATTATATATAAGACTTCATCATTTTGCAAATCAAATCAAGTGGTGACTGAGAGTCACCTCTCGAGTGCAAAGGGTTAAATAGTCAAAATATTCTGTCAGGAAACGCCTGAATATTAATTAGTAATCAGTATGATACACATAATCATGTTTTATTACCAATTTTCAATCATATTTGTTATAAAAGTAAGTCGCCTTCTCGAGAAATCCATTTCTACGGCGGGGCAATGACCATCAACACATCCTCGCGTGACCGGCAGTGAACGTGTTAAAAGTTGATTAATTAATTCGGAAGGATATCGGAGATAAATAGTTTCGGTTGAATACTATAACGAATGTCTGATGAAACTGAAAATAATCTATTGTTACAATTTTTATAGGGATTAGATGTTAATCCTATTGAATTCTCGATAGTTCTGGTGTTAATTACATTTTTCTGCTTACTTTACGATTTTTCATGAAGATCTGCACTCTACCAAATGAGACGAACAGATTGTCGCGCGACATTCCTCGCGAACAACGACCTTATCCGACCGTAATACGGGTTTTCGAGTTACCGTTACCGTTTTTTTCCCATTCCTCTTTATTCCGCGTTTTTTTAGTCCGCATACAGCGCGGAATTCGCGCAATGATGGCGCCTTAATCACGACGTAGGCTAGAAAGTATTCGAACGGTCATTTTCCCGACGAGAATTTCAACAATGCTCCATTTAAACGATCAAAATCGTCTTTCTAAATGCCTGTCGACGATAGTCTGCGTGTTTGTATGGATAGTTTGAATAATTATAAACAATTTTATTAATTATAATAATAATAACTTTTATTAATAATGATATAATAATATAATAATTTTTCCTTTAAGACACCCTGTATGTCTTTCGAAAAGCTGGTCAAACAATTCGAAGATCATGATTAGAAGATAAACAAACTATTCATTTCCATAAACCGCACTTCTTCCAATATGTTTAAATTACTTCCATTTTACAAGGAAGCATGCCTAATTCTCGTCTAAATTCTGTAAGGTAGCAATTAAAATTTAATTTTATTCAGCCTCGCTTAGGAGGAACGTATTAAGTCTCCTATTTTTTTCTCAAATTTTTTACGCGCGACCATGAGCCGTTCGACGAATCGGCCAATAAAATGACGAAACAAATATTTGGCCACATGGCCCTGAATATTTGACAAATTAAGAAGCCAAAATTTCCTTATCGTTGAAGGTCATCGTACCTTCCCACTATACGATCCCGCTAAATAGCAACTTTTCCACTTGGACCATTCCTGCGGGCGTTTAGTGTCCATCCGTCGCGCGAGATACGAAAACTGTCGAGCTGCCGCCATCTTGTCGCAACAAGTGATCGTTCTTCCTCAATTTCTCGCTCGGACGTTGTGCAACGAACGAAACTCGCTAATTAAACGAGACGGATTAATAAAATCTGTACACGAGACTCAATGAAAAATTAATTCTGCAATTTTTTCGGAAAAAAGGTCAATGTCGCCGGTGATATAATTCATAAAATTCCAATTGACGGCGTTGTGCAACCGCGCGAAGGTTGTTTTGTAATTGCTCATCGTCCCGAGCTTTCCCTGACAAGAGGAAAATTTATTAGAAGAAACAAGAAACGTTAATCGACTGATCAATACCGTTTACATTGCGCAGAGGTGTAATTACATTGAACCTTGCAGTTATCGCGATTAAATCGGGCACGCGTCCGGTTGCATCCGTTCAGTTCCAGTTACTGTTTACGAAACCGACGATGTTCTTGCTCATTCATGAAACTTACGCGGCCGATTTCAATGAGATTTAGTGAAAATCACTATCGTGCCAGTCGCTTCAATTGCAGGAATTTCCGTTGACACGCGAAGGCATAATTATTGGGTCGACTGCTTTAGACGTTGTTTAAACATATTTTAATATAGATATTCTTATAAAAGTATACACCACTTTATTTGGGAGAGTCTATAGAATCATTTTCTAAAATAAATAATTGTATAGTTTTTATAATTAGTGTGTAATAACTGTTTTAGGTCGACTATTAGATTCTTCGTTTTAAAATTGAATTTTTAAGAATGAGAATATAAATTGGAAAAATCGGCGCACGAAAATTTCTAAAAATCATTTAGTGAATATTATAAAAGACCTACAGTTAACATTCATTAGACTTGATCGTTTATCCTGATTTGTTCCAGGATGAGGTGGAAGAAGCAAGGGGTCACGGAGGGCGAAGGAGCGTCGATCCTGCTACTCGTCGCATTGGCTCCTGTTATCTGCTCCGCTGGAATCCTGGACCCTTGGCAGTGGGCGCGTAGCGATCGAATCGAGGTCAACATTCCATGGTTGCCATGTAATTACTCCAACAACCATTATTTTAAATGAATTATTAAACAATTACACTAACATCAAAATTCACGAGACAACTCGAATGTTTATCAAACAATTGTTATAATTAAACGTAACGATACGGAATTAGAGATACTATAAATATATACTTTCAACACAACTAAACTTTAGGGGTTGAAAGTAATTTTTTCGAATATCTTTGAAACTACGGGCTGTATAAAAGGAATTTGCATTGTTCATTTCGAGGCAAACAATTTAAAACAACAATTTCTTTTCTACTCCCTTAGTTTCAAAGATATTCTAAAGAATATACTTTCAACTTTAACACTAGAACTACCAGATGGATCAAAATAACCCATTTCTTGATGTTTCCTTTTGCGATTACTGAAAAGGTACGACTACCTCTTTAAAGAATTTCTAAGGAAACTGATTAAGTAATACCTAAGCCGAAATTTAAACCAATTCAATCCTTAATAAATTCACGTTTGTAGTTCTTGTAAAGAAATTCTCAAAAGTCAATTTAAGGACTCGATAGTTCTAGTGTTAAAAAAAATATTATTACAATATATATTACATTATAATAATATATAATATATATATAATAATATATATAATATTAAGTATTAAGAAAAAATACGTGTCAAATATTTTCTTGAAAACCATATCTCACATAAGTTTCATTAAAATGAGCGTGTGCTAATTGAAAGGCTCAAAAAATCTAATAAAACAGTGAAAAATAGTACAAATTAATTTATTACTCGTGTAATTCCCGAATAATCTTCAACAGTCGAAAACGAGACACGTTGCTACGACGAGCTGGGCTGCTTAAACATAACCAGGAGCTGGTACCACCTCATCCACAGGCCGTTGAATGTGTTCCCTCTGCCACGAGAGGTGATCAATACAAGGTTCATCTTGTATACGAAAGAAAATCCCACGGAAGTGAGTATAATTACGACTCATAACTCGCCGGTAATTAGCAGCAAACTGTTCGACGTAATTAAAATTCTGATCTCGCGAACTCCTCCGCGAGAAATTCTCCGGACGCATTAATTAGAGGTTTCGATCGTAGGACGGAAACACGAATCGTTTAACTATGATTATCTCCGACTATAGCGATTAAATCGATAACGTGAAGCTCGATGAAAATCGTACGTTCATCTGTATTTAGGTTTTAACACTAATACCGGACAGGTCAAAATGACCGGTTCTTGGTGTCTTCTTTTTGCAATTATTAAAAAGATAACAGACGTTTCGCTGAGAAATTATTAAAGAAAATGATTCAGCGCCACGAAAATTGAATTGTAAATTAATTAACACCTTAATAGATGCACTCTTCGAGTTTCTATAGAGAAACTTGAAGAGTGCATATATTTTAAGAGAGATTTTAATTAATTTATAATTCAGTTTGCGTATTGATAAATCAATTTCTTTAATTATTTCTTAGAGAAACGTCTGTTATCTTTTTAACCATTGCAAAATGAAGAAATCAGGAATGTGTCGTTTTGCATCTGGTAGTTTTAGTGCTAATTAATCGAAGCATATGAAACACCCTTTTTTAACCCTTTGCACTACTTTTGGCAAAATGATTTGAAATAATTTTCAGCTGTAGAATTCAACGTTTTATATTTATTTTATTTATTATTATTACAATAAGATTTAATTTTTGTAATCTTTTAAAATGTAGTACTTTTTCAAACAATTTCCAACATTCTATAACAAATTGTATTATCATCTCCAGCATGATATGCGAGTGCAAACAGTTAAATAAAAATATCACTTAATTCTCCTAAGTCCGAATGAAATATTATTTGTCTATAATTAATTGTAATCTTTCTAAGTAAACGTGGACATTTCCCTCTTGTCCCAATGAATTATAATTAATAAAATATCTGCGTTGAGCACAATTAGGAAATAAATCATAGAACAAGGGGTTAATATTCTAAAAGCGTTGAATATTCAAAATAATTTTGAAAATAAATTAAATTTAAATTATCTTCTACATGACCGGTGCAAAGGGTTAATCCAATGAGGATTCTTAGTATCGTTTCGTTCATTTAATTTTTTTAATGTTCTCGCTATATGTCACTTTCGACTTTAAGAACATATCGCAGAGAAATTGTTTAGTCTATAATCATCCGACTTATCGTACAATTAATGCAACTCGTCGATTATGTTTTGCAGGGTCAGGTACTGATAGTCGCTAAAGATAAGTCCATCAAACGGTCCTACTTCAATCCAAAACGACAGACAAAGTTCATCATCCATGGTTTCATCGACACGCCCCTCAGTAATTGGGTCAAGGTAAGCTGTACGAATTAACGAGTCTGAGTAATTGCACCGTGATTCTCGTAATGGTATATCGATGCTCGAACTATGAGCAATTCGCGTTGCATTTATCTTTGGTTTCTAGAACAAGGGGATCGAGAGTTAAACGCGTTCGAACTAGGTGAACGAAATCGACTCATGAATTGAATCATTGGTTCGAACGTAGCTCGCTATAGGGTACTCGTCGAACGTTCGACACCGGTCATTTTTTTAACCTGAATGTTCATTAACCGTAGGAAATGAGGAACGAGTTGCTCAAGCACGACGATTACAATGTCATCATTGTCGACTGGGCAGGTGGTAGTCTGCCGCTCTACACTCAGGCGACTGCCAACACGAGACTCGTTGGCCTCGAAATCGCTCATCTCGTTAAGCACTTGCAGGTAACGCGAATTTCGAGTTAACTTCGACTGTTACTCACTCCGAATTTCCCTCGAGAGTCATTGCTAATGCATGGAACACTGTAACCGAGAAGCTAAACTAGCACTAGGACCAGATGAATCAAAACGACCCATTCCTAAATTCTTTTACAATTATTGAAAAAACAATAGATGCTTCTCTAAGAAATTTCAAAAGAATTTCGAGTTAGCTCCAACTATTAGTTACTCCCAATTTCCCTCGAGAGTCATTGGCAATTCATGGAACACTCTAATCGAGAAGCTAAAGTAGCACTAGAACTACCAGATGAGTCAACCCATTCCTAAATTCTTCCTTTCTAATTATTGAACTAACAATAGATCCTTCTCTAAGAAATTTCTAAAGAATTTCGAGTTAACTCCCAATTTCCCTCACGAGTCATTGCTAATTTACGGAACACTGTAACCGAGAAGCTAAATTAGCACTAGAACCAGATGAGTCAAAATGACCCACTCCTAAATTCTGTTACAGTTATTGAAAGAACAATAGATCCTTCTCTAAGAAATTCCTAAAGAAATTATTTCATTAATACGCACACTAAGTTTCAACCCTTTGCCCTACAATATCGTATAAGACTCGTGACAAAGATCTCAAATAAATCTTAATTCTTGCGAGCCCAAATTAAATATTATATTTGTATTATCAACTGTTACCCTTTGAAGTAAACCTGAATATACACGAAATTCTCCTTCGTTCCTAAATATTAATAACAAAGTAATTCTTGCTAGTGTAGTAATGAACTAAACCGTAGGTCAAGGAGTTAAGTGATCGAAGTCTCGATAGATGCACTCTTTTCTATAGAAAAATTTCGAAGAGTCAACTTGCCTGCTGGGTAGTGCTAGTGCTAGACACGTTGAAGCCCATCAAACTTTCAGACGTTCCATTCGAAAAAGTTTCACTAAACCGTTGTCATTAACCAGAATCGTTCAACCACTGAAACATTGATTGGATCGTTGTTTCCTTGGGCTGTAGACAAATTACAGACTTGACCCGAACGACGTGCATCTGATTGGGCACAGTTTGGGCGCCCACACGGCTGGTTACGCAGGGGAAAAGTTAGGTGGGAATATAGGCCGCATCACAGGCCTGGATCCTGCCGAGCCTTATTTCCAAGGCATGCCTAGTCACCTGAGACTGGATTACACTGACGCGAAGCTAGTCGACGTCATTCACACTGATGGTAAAAGCATCTTTTTCTTAGGTAAGAAAAGTATTCAAGTACACCGACAATGTAAACTTAGAATCGAGCTCATCGATGTAAATAGAGTTTTCCTGCCAGCGATTCCTAAGTCATTAACATGTTGAATGCCATGTGGTCACCGGTGACCTCCAATCAAATCGAATTAAGATAGTATCTTTATGGAAAGATTACTTTTAACCACTTGCGCTGGCAACGAATTGAGTAACTCGACAGGATCTCGCGCGAAGGATTTTGTTTTCGCATATTATATACAGATATCTACACAAATGTCGTTTACCAATAATTTTCTACGAAGTGGTAGGAATCTGGAATATGTATAGGACTATCGACGTGTACAATATGTCGGTAATTTTCAGACAAAAACATCACGTGCGTCACGTCTTTCCAGCGCAAGTGGTTAGAAATCTTATTTTCTACATTTCCCTGAAAAATGGTCAACCATTGATACCAGGTCAGTTGGTGTCTTTGCCTTAGTCGATGTAGATGCAATTTTGAATAGGCTCAAGCGGTTTTCATCGGGAATATTCCAGGACGCATTAGAGAACCGAGAAATCCTCGGCGAATCCTCGGATTCGCTTTAGTCACAATGCATACGAAGTCTAATTTAGTACACGATAAGGACTTCCAGGATATGGAATGAGTCAGCCATGCGGTCACCTGGACTTCTACCCGAATAATGGCAAGGAGCAACCAGGGTGTACGGATCTCAGCGAAACAACGCCTTCTCTGCCACTGACGCTGATAAGGGAGGGTCTGGAGGAGGCGTCGAGGGTGCTGGTGGCCTGCAACCATGTGCGTGCCATAAAACTGTTCATTGAAAGCATCAACTCCAAGTGCCAATACGTGGCGCACGAGTGCTCCAGTTACGCCAGCTTCCTGAGGGGTGAATGCTTCTCCTGCAAAAGCAACAACAGCCTCAGCTGCGGCGTCATGGGGTACCATGCGGACACCAGTCCTGCGTTAGTCAGGAGACAAGCTATGGGTCAAGATGTCCTGTCGCTGCTGGGATCTAAGTTCTTCTTCACCACTGGCAAAGACGATCCGTACTGTAGTGAGTAAAGGAATATTATATTTTGAAATTTCAACTTAACCCTTTGCACTCGGGAGGTGACTCTCAGTCACCACTTGATTTCCTACAGTGAAGCTATAAAGTTTGATATTTAGTCATCAGAAAATGTTGAAATATTTCTAGCGAAAAACTTCGGAGTGCAAAGGGTTAAAATTATCTTGTTAGTTTAGTCATTTGTCCTCAATTGGATTTTGGATATTTCCTGCAGTATAATCGTTAGTGGAAAAGTCGAAAGATAATGTTAAAGTGCCTTATGTTCTATATTGTTATCTGGAAATATGGAACCGATATTATCTATCTGATGGGCAGCGCCATCTGTGAACAACTGCTTGAAACTAGATGACGTTATTTATTTGAACGTAATTTTAGTCGGTTTTCAAAGTGGAAGTTTCTATTTCATATCGATTTTGTAGATATTAGTTATGCAATGATATAATATTTATTGATTCATTAATATTATTGCATATTTAAAATAAGTATATGGTGTTATCTTATGTTGGAACTAAGGAAACAAATTCTATATTATCTACCAACGAAATGACGCCATCTATGACTAATTGCATGAAACTGGATGGCACTAATTATTTAAATGCAATTTTAGTAGGTTTCTAAGGTGGACATTTTTATTTTATATTGATTTTGCAGATATCATTATTTATTGAGTCATTAACATTATCGTATATTTAAAATAAGTCTATAGTGTTATCTCATGTTGGAACTAAGGAAAGAAATTCTATATTATCTACCAGCAAAATCACGCCATTTATAAACAATTACGTGAAACTGGATGACACTAATTTTTTTAAATGCAATTTCAGCAGGTTTTTAATTGAAAACTTTCTATTTTATATTAGCCTCGTAATTGTATTCGTCTAATGATAAATCACTTGTTAATGTCACAACGTTATCAAGGCTTAAGATAAGCATGTGACATTATCTTACCACTTATTACTTTATTGCTTCGTACTTCACGGTATCCCTGACAGATGCCAGTTAAAGCTGTTTTTCACGACGATAAAATGCATTTTTTATTATGCATTTTATATTTGCCACTTTTTCATGTACCCGGCGATGCCGTCCGGTCGTCGATAAAACAAACATTTCATAACGTAACGTTCATTTACAGTTTCAGCGGTTTTTAATATTGAATAAAATCTTCTCGAGGGATTTTATGCAATTGCGGCTTTCACCGTGTTATCGTCGCGCAGAAAATTGCCGCTTGCCATGAGATTGATTTAAGTCTGCCCTACATAAGTGTCGATTAGAAACTGGTAACCGCAATTTCGCTCATCGATCAAGATAACACTTTTCATCCTTTCCACGTTCACTCGCATTTCTATTCTGGTTTATTCAAATGAAATTTAAATAGTCCGATGCAAATGAACGTGCATTTCGTCTTCAATGATTAATCCCTTGCCTTACAATATCTTCAGACTTGAGGCGAAGATTTCTAATACGGTTTAACCCTTTGCACTTCAAAAATTTGTCACTAGAAATATTCAATTTATTTTTATGAGATATAGATGACATTTTTTTAAACTAACTTAACGAAGGAGGAACTTAAGGCATCGATTCACAAAATAAGGGGAACAATGATATTTTATTCGGAGTGCAAAGGGTTAACCCATTGTCCTACAACAACGAGTGAGACTCGCGATGAAGATTTTCAACATGATTCAACAAATACATATATTACTCGGTTCATTTGAATTCAAGTGAAAATATTTATTTTTAAAATCATTTCGAATATTCAATATTTTCGAATATAATATTCAACAAACAATTTTGATCGGTATGGTAGTTCTAGTGTTAAGAATCCAAACGAAAATTTAGCACAAGTGCAATCTTCATTAGTCATAACTTGGACTTTAATTCCTCTCTTCCAGGGAGACATTATCGTCTCACTATCAATCTTGCGCGACCACCGACTGCTGAGAGCTGGGTCCAAGGTTTTATGAAAGTCACGCTTCACGCTGAGAATGGTATCATACGTGACGTCGATCTAACTCCTAGGTAATATTCCCCTAACATTACTAAACATTTCTGAAAGTTCAAAAATCATCTGAGTTTTCTAAGCTAAGAACTATGAAAATCTAAATTCGTTAACGTTTAGTCTTCTGTGTTCTCCAACATTGAACATTTCTTAACACGTTTGTGTATTTCGGTGAGGATCTCCCCAATTGTAATATTTTATTCAATCCAATGAATCTTCTAAATAAAATATCGACAAAATGAAACTGGAACAAGTTATCGAGTTCATAAATATAATGCCGTAGCTTGTAACTTTATCATAACTTTAAATCTCTTAATTATTATCTTTATTATAACTTTAAATAACAATATCAATAAGATTAATTTCATTGTATTTTACATAAATCAAATGAAATTAATCTTATAGATATTGTTATTGAAAGTTATCTTATATTTTACATAAAGCAAAGATTGCGCCCGTCACAAGTTTTTCATGATTAAATCGTACCGGAAAGGGTTAATGCGGTTAAAAATAGTTTCTTATTTCTCAGTTGATATTACTAACTTGTACGAAACATTAATTAAAGAGTGATTAAACCTTCCCGCGAAATTATAGGTGGCACGGTTCCGTTTTCCGCGGTAGAGTCTCGTTACCATTTACTAAACGGCACCGACATCGGGAAACGATACTTTCGCGAAGATAAATTTTATTGGTTCTTTCACTCACCGACTTGTAGCGGTTACATGAAATTGGAACACGGATCGACGGTGCGAATGGTGGTCGCGCATCCGGCGGGGGCGACCGGTGAAATTGGAAAAATCAGGCGAGTCGAACTTTCATGGACATACGACATGGACGTGCTGCAGCCGCGCTCGCTCTGCTTTTTCTGGTGCAACGATCGTCTTTACGTGAACAGCGTCACCGTCGACGTCATGGAACTGCCGGGAAGAGGGTGAGTCTCACCCCTAAAACTCTTTACGTTGTTCGTTCACGTATAAATGAGAATTTTTAACCCTTTGCACTCATATATTATGCTGGAGATGACAATAATTTGTGATAGAATGTTGGAAATTGTTTGAGAACGTGCCACACTTTAAAAGATTATGAAAATTACATCTTATTATAATAATAAATGAAATAAATATGAAACGTTGAATCCTATTGCTGTATATTAGTTTAATTCATTTCTCTGAAACTGTATACAAATTTGTAACTGACAATATTGAAGATAAGCTGAGTGCACAGGGTTAATATTTATTCAATTTTAACAATGATTCATTATACTTTTAATATTAACCCTTTGCACTCGTATATTAGGCTGGAGATGACAATAATTTGTGATAGAATGTTGGAAATTGTTTGAGAAAGTGCCACACTTTAAAAGATTATGAAAATTAAATATTATTATAATAATAAATGTATATTACTTTAATTAATTTTTCTGATACTAAATGCAAATTTACTACCGACAACATTGAAGATAAACCGAGTGCAAAGGGTTAATAATCATAGTAATTTTAATGTACATATTACCAATCTATACTACCTTCAACCCCTTGCACTCGCAGCAATTTCAGTAGCAAAGCATATTCACATATAAATAAATGATACGATAAAAAGGAAAACCATAAATGTTTTTTCATCGATCATAGATACAGATATTATAATCTACTTAACACAACTTCTTAGTTTACAATGACAATTTTTCAATAACCCCAGAGTCCTCGAGTGCAAAGGGTTAATTTAAAAGTTTCAATTGCTAAGAGTCTATCATTGATCTCTTTCTATCATCAAAATCTTTATTTACAAATTCTGAGAAACACTTACAAATTTGATCTTCGACCTTTCTCTTCCTTTTCGTTGACCTTCCATAGAAAAATTCACAAGTTCGTAAGAAAAGATTCTTCGATGTGTCTCTTGTTGGAAGATTTATATGGGTACCTACGTTGTGTCTGTGTCCGCAGAAAAAGGGAAGCAGACTTCACCAGCAAGCTGTGCTCAGCCAGCAGGCAGGAGTACGCGGAGATCGCCAGCGGGTCCACAGCGTCGTTCATCGACAACTGTTAACAACCTGTTATTCCTGAAAAGTGTTCCACTTTGTTATTACGCGATTAGCTCGAGACACTGTGTACTGTTCCTGTGAAAAATCGTTTGCTAAGATCGACTACTGCTACCAGCTGGGTAAGGTAAACCGGCAAGACCGGAAATCGGTCGGATTCTATAGGGCCCCATACATATTGAAACTTGCAGCATGCAGGCATCGCAACAAGCGATGGGATTGAGCCTTTTTCACCTTTTGTTTGAGTGCTACATGATGTATCATGAAACTTTGGGAGTCTCATCACTTGTAGCGATGGGTCTGAACCTTTTCTCCCTTTATTTGTGTGCAACATGTATCATGAAAGTTTGAGAGACCCAAACCCATTGCTACAAATGATTGGTTTAAGCCTTTTTCTCTCTATGTCTGAATGCAACATGTATCATGGAACTCTGAGAGTCTCATCACTTGTAGCGATGGATTTGAGCCTCTTCACTTTCTGTTTGAGTGCAACATGTATCATGAAACTTTGGGAGACACAAACCCATCGCTAAAATAGGTTTGACACTAGAATTACCAAGCAGTGAAATTGTCTTTTTGAAATTTGTCTATAGAAACTAAATGGTGCAACTATTGAGACTTCAATTGATTTGCACTGTAGTTTCTGCATTACTAAACCAATTTCTCTAGTAATTTCTCAGAGAAGCATTCGTTACCTTCTCAATAACTGGAAAAAAAGAAACCATGAATGGGTCATTTTGTCCCTTCCGGTAGTTCTAGTGTCAAGCCTTTTTCACTTTTTGTCTGACTGCAACATGTATTATGAAACTTTGGAAGACAAACCCATCACTTGTCGCGATGCCTGCATTGCTGCAAGTTTCAACGTGTTCGGGAGTCTTAAGCTCTACTTAAGTTGAACTTGTGCAGCGGTCGCGCGAACGGTACTATCGTTTAGAGACACACGGTGACTTGTGCTTAAGAGGACACGCTCCGAAGATTGATTTAGAGTACAGGGAAGCTCTTATAACGATCTCTGAACAAACTTGTAAATGGCAATACTTATCTTTCGATCGTGAAACACTGGAAAATCGTCGGGAAAACGTTTTTATATGAAAATCATTATGCTATTCCTACGAAAAAGAAAAGATTTCTTTGAGCCGAAACGTGTTCGTTCCGATAGGAGCAGGTTCGAAGATGATGAACACACGTCGAAGAAGGTCTAATGAAATTGGCGCACATCAGAAGCAGTATTTTAGTGTAATCGATTACTTTGTACATCTTGTATATAAAATTTCGATAGGTGTAACTAGATAATGCTTAGCGTAGTGTAAAAGCAGGTACGTTGCGAGTGATTTACTCTATTAACATCGGATACCGACAACAATTGCTATACCAATTTTTATACGATATTTACATTAAAAAGGAGAAGGAAAGAAAACAGTGTCCATTACGGCATAACGGCGACCATCGTTTTGTGATATTTTGTTTGTATAATTTAAATATTATATTTAATACAATGATTATTAACTGGTAACTTTCGTTTGGCAACAAAAGAAAAATGGAAAAGATAAGAAAAATTGTTATAAATTAGAAGTAAGAAAACAGCTGCCAGTCACGCACGGTTGTGTCGTGCACCCTCGGAAATCGTTTCATTGTTCTCGTCGAAGTGGAAGATTGAAACGAAAGAATGTTCGTTGTAAAAACAGGTGAGTGAAACCGGAAGGAAAAAAAAACACAGTTGAATACAGCTTGCTAATCCTTTGCAATGTTTACTCCTCGATAAACGTTGTACACGTCAAATTCGTCGCTTATACAAAAAGATCATCGCGGAGTGCAGCTATACACGGTAACACATGATTTCTGTTATCTTACACGAGATTCAACAATAATCGAGTAAAAAAGCCGTCCGCGTTACGGTCAACGCGGTAACAAGGGTTGGTAAAATATATAATATGATATATAGTGATATACATAATATAATAATAATCTCTATCTGTATAACATATAATTTGCATATAAATAATAAATAGGGAACGAGGAGCGAGGGGGAGCGAAGGGGGCAAGTTGGAAACTCGGTGAGATTAGCTTGGTAAAGTTTTCGTAGCACTAAAGATTACGGTTGAAGAACATCGAGGAACGGGATTATTGGGGTCCGGTGATGGCCAAGAGAAACAAAACGACAGAGACGACGAGAGAGAGAAAGAAAAACGAACTGTGAAAGATAATATAGAACGGTGAAATAACTAACAATACTTATGAATATACAGCTGATTTCATTTGGCATAGTAGTCTAGAGCGTTCTTTCTTCTAGCGCAGTAGAATAAGGTCAGTGAAGATCATCGACCCAAGCGGTTTCTAATGACTCGATAAGAGTACGAACAAAAGCCATTTCTTTTCGCGCGTTCTCCAAGATCACGCGCGGATCTTGCGAGGTGCACCGCAGTATGTTCGGCGCCATCACCATCGCCAGATTGTTCGCGTCCATTTTGGTGCGGGCAACCACCTCGGGTCTCGCGAATATCTAGAAGAAAATCCTCATGAAATATCTACAGATCGCATCATTTACCAATCCACAGAAACTATTATTCACCTGTAGAAACCGTATCAAGTGGCACAGCACCCGACGATTCAGGTCGGGCAATCGATCGACGAGCGCAGCGACGTTCGCTGCGGACACCTCGGCGTCGTCGTGTCTCATCGAGACGCACTCCGCGTAAAAGGAATCAGGTATCAGCGGCTCGTACAGCTCGCGTACCCATAGTTTCAACAAAGAAGCGGGCGCGTGAGCATCCTGGGGAGCAGCCAGAATCGTGCCGTCCTCGAACCTGTCCAGGCAAGCCTTCAAAGCGCTAACCTCATCCGCGTCCGCGGACACCCTGAAAATACCCTCGGTCAATATACCACCGCGGGCCAATACCTGCCGTGTTAGCGTGGTTTGTATCCATGGTAACTCTCGGTTCGGGTATCTGTCTCTTTGCAACGCCATCACTTCCGAGAGCGTCGCCCCGAACATAGACGCTCGGAAGATTTGAATCTGTAACAGTGAACGACGAGAGAATTATTAATATATTAATGAAAGAAATCTGGAAGGGTGAATATGATAGAGCGTACCCTTGCTTGATCAATGTCTTCTATGGTAGCCTTTCGTGGTTGCCGCTTGCCGTGCGCACCGATTCGCTGAAGGCGTCGACAGGCGACTGTCGCGTAGTGACTAACCTGAACGTGGATCGGCCACTTGGCCACTTCCGGGAACTGGAAATTCGGATCGCGGTGTCTGTTCATGTAGCCTTCAAGATAGGGCTCGAACGTTGCGCTAGGTGGAACGAAGGCCAGGCAAACGGCCATCAGCTCCCAGCCACGGCGGAGGCTCTCTTTCCGCGGATTCTCTGTGGTTTGCCTGCAGATCTGAACGTACAGTTCATCCCGTAACGGCGGCTTCGAGAACGCGGTATTTACAATGTCCATAGCCACACTGTCCAACGTCATCCCTACGTTTGCCTTCCGGTCACCCATGTACACTTGCACCAGCCTGAATAAATTGCAAGCCTCCCGTTTCAGTAGCTTTTCCCCGTCCACGACGACGAGCATCGGTTGCGGTATAGGATCCTTCGACCAGCTCAGAATGTCTCGAACGCTGAACTTCTTCCGGAAGAGAAGTCTCAAACCCTTCGGTCGCCCGCAGTTCAAGTTGAGATTGTCTTGTGCGTATTTCTCGATATCGCCGCCGCCGGCACTGTCGTTTCGTCTTGCCTCTTCCGAGTCGACGTTGTCTACGCTGGTACCAATCGTGGGTAGGGAACTGATGGTACACGTTGGTACGGTAACTTGTCTCGTAGTCGTCACGCTGTCACGGATCTCTGTTTGCGATATGGTATTCGGTGGTGACGGTGGTCGCACTTGTGGCCTCGTCAGCGTGTCCGCAGTGTTGTAGTAAGTCGCTAAGCCTGCGGTGTCGTAATTACCTAAATCTGTGTGTGACAATAAGGAGAAATGGTTTTGATCATCTCTGAAGAGAAAAATGTCTTGGTTACTTGTCTCTAGCCACTGACCTGCGTAATGATCTTCAAGGTACTCTTGGCTAGAAGAATCACCCTGGTTGCTGGCTGCCTCGTCATCTGCGAACTGATCATCAGAATCGTCTTCGGCTCTCCCGCCGATATCCTCGCCTCTTCCGCCCTCCTCGTCCAAGGAATCGTCACCTTCTTCTACCAACAAAGGATCTCCGAACTTATAACAACCTACGATACGAAGAATAGTGTTGGATATACTGTTCGTGCGTGTTCTCGTTGATTATCATACGGTTCGTGGGACGCGAGGATGCTCACCTGAGAGTTTCGCCTGTTGCAGAATATAATGTTGAAGCGGCAACAAGTAATCGGCGTCGGACAACGGATTCCCGTAGAATGGAGACGGAGGCGGACTCGGGTTCCCGTTGCTTCTCTTCTTCTTACTGTCGTCCCCTTCTGTGAGTCCCTCCGTCTCCTCACCTACGGCACTATTACTGCTACTATTACTGCTATTGCTACTGCTAGTGTTGCTGCTAAGCCTCTGCCTAGGTTGCTCGTGGCTCTGACTTATTAAGTAACGTTCATGCATCGAATCGTCATCCCTGTCCCTTCTCCTCGATTGCTGCTGGTGCATCTGCTGTATCTTTTGCTGCTGCTTCTGTTGCTGTACAAAACTGTAGCTTCGAGCTAATGGCTGCGGCACACCTTGAAGAAACATGCACCGTGAAACTAACACCGGACTAACTATAGATGTGAGTAGTATTTAACCCTAGAAAGATTGGGTGGAGTCTTAACGGGCTCAGTGTTTCTTGAAGCGTCGAAGGTGATCAATCTTTCTGGAGTTAATTAAACGATCGAGAAATCTACTTACAATCCATCGAGTTATTGCACGCTGTGTTCCTTCTATACTGTTTCTCTCTGTCGCGTTCACGCTCTCTCTCCCTCTCCGCAACCTCGACGCTCCTTTGCTTCGACGCGCCACTTAAGAGTCCTCCGGTGCCCCTGACAAGGCTTTTCTGAACCCCTGATGGTTCATTCCAATCCGCCATCATGACGTTGTACGCATCTTTATTTGCTTCGGAAAGGGACACCGAACCTCCGTGATGCCTTCTTCCTATACTACCAGTGTTATCTTGCTTATTCATATTACGCGAATGCATGGAACTTGGATAAAAGGCTGACGTGTTTGTCTTGTCCAAACTATTTACTCTTTCCCTATGATGAATCTCTCTTTCCCTATCTCTATGATAACGGTTACTACTTTCCACCAGGGAGCCATACTTCTCGCCCTGTGATTTATAACTATGACTCAATTGAACTTCTGGCGGACGGTACGGTGGCATCTCTTGCCTGAATATTCTAGACTCCATCAACGAATCACGATATGGCGAAGTGCTCGGTTCAGGACCGTATGAGCCTCTACTACTTTCCCTACCTAGAACGTTAAGCCATGAATGATCTCGGTGAACTCGATGAAGCTTTTCAACGGGAATAGCATAGCAACTTATGAATTACAAAACTTAACTCACATTCTTACCATTTTTATTCTTTTCCAATTCTAAATTCCCTGCCCTAACCTCGCGTTGCGAGTCAACAAATGTCTTCTTCTTGAAGAGAGGGGTGCTAGTTGAAAGCGATAAACCTAATGGCGGTGGTTCACCCAGCGGCACAGACTTCTGATTCTTCACACTTTCCAATGTTCCGCTCTTATGGCCCCTGGCTTCCAATGTACCGCTGTGCTGTCTGGGAGATGATTGTGCTTGATTCGCTGGCGTTTGGGTGGCAGAACGATGATGATGCCGGTGCGGAGAGTCCAGCAGTCGGTAGCCGGTCGATTCCAAAGACGTTCGACTGTGGGATACTGAACTGTCGCTAGAGCGTCCAGAATCTTGCGAATGATTATGCTGGCGACGAGCTGTCGGGACTTCATGATGCCTATGATGCCTGTTGTTGTGGTGATGATGGTGATGATGATGGTGACGTCTTGTGGATGGCGATGGAGAAGGAGGAGACGTCTGGAGGTCCACACCAACACCAGATATTCGTGTTTTATTTACACTACCACTTTGCTATAACAAGAACAGTAACATAGTATTCGCTTACCAATTCCATAAAAGAGTTGTTGTAGAGTGGGGACCTTACCAACGAAGAAGACAAATTGGAACTTTCTTGATGACTGAACCTTGTAGATCGACTAACAGAAGGAGTTTGTGTCTGGGTGGATACAGATTCTTTCTTTCTTGGCTCGGTTGATTTCTGAGTATCAACTCCACTGCTGCTTGCTGGCTCTGTATTCTGCTTTAACGTCTACCATATGTTTGAAATAATTATTCAGAAAGTGCTTGATGCAAAAACTTAGAGTATTGTTAAAAATTCTAGGTAATGCCCATACATATTGCAATTTTCAAAGATTATCAGGCTTTTCTCGTGGTACTTTTTTTCTCTTAGCTACAAACATCTATTTATAGCCGAAAGGAGAGCAGACAGCTCACACACTTATAAGTTCAGCATTATACACATTGATACATGATAATACAGAGAAGCTCGAGAAACATGTTTGTACACAGTCATTATTGACATATGTGTAAATCAAATATTGTATTCAACAAGTCAACAATAATGGATGCTATCATTTCTTAAAATTCAAGATATTTATACGACCCACCTAGTTTTTTGGGACAACCATAAACGCTATCAACACCGCCACCCATACAAATTTGATATTTATTATCAGTAAAAGTGAATCACTCACCTGAAGCTTTGCTAATGGTATGATGTCACAATCACTTGGACGGTGCCAGACAGTTTTTAGGGAGGTTGCATTATAATAGTAAAACCGTGAAGTATTTTGATCAAATAGTTCCCACCATTGGTTGTTATCAGTTTTCTTCCTATAATTATTAGCAGAACTATACGAACTATATATTAAAGTGTGTAATGTTAGAAAAATCACAGAACTCCAAACTGAACATTTACAAAATTCGAATTATGTGAAACATTGAAATTCAGAACATGTGCCATAGTAGAAATCTCTTTCAATTATAAATGCTTCCTATGTGATAAAGGCAGAACCTTATATGTACAATGATAACTTTCACCGAGCTAATTAGATCAGAAATACAACTGAATCTTAGTCAAGTAATCATTTCTCTTTCTTAGAAAGTTGGGCTTTATAATACTATTGTATTGTAACAAAGAAAAATATAAGCCTTACACTGGCACACCAGGTGGAGGATCCCATACACATTCTCCAGTCGTAAGATTTGCATACATATGCTCCTTTGTACGAGGTTCTATGATTTCGACCCATTCCATTCTACTGTAACCATATATAATTTATTAATATTTTATACCTTGGTTAC